AAGTGTTTGTCCTTTTGATTTATTTATTTCATAGCAAATACCAAGCGTGCAGGAAACTGCAATTTTTTTAAGTAGAGTGGCATTTCTATTGCAAGTAGTGAATTCGAGATAGCAACATACTTCGCCGTAATAAGCGTATTTCAAATAAATTGTTGTGTTGTTTTTTAGTGTTAGCCTAAGGCGTTGTGGGTCAATGGTTCTTATTAAAATCATATCCCAATCTGATCCGATTTAAATATAATTTAAAAAAAATTACTTTTACACCACACTCCGCCACACCTTTCATATTTAATTGAAATTGGTGAGTCAAATATGTGAAATCGGCCGAGAATATATATATGGGAGCTATATCCAAATCTTAACTAATTTCCAATTAATTTATCACATTTATTATTATAACAAAATTCCGCCACACATTCTGAATTTCATTGGAATCGGTCATATATATCGTGTTTGGTGCATAATATGTATGAAATCGGCCGAAATATATATGTTAGCTATACCCAAACCTCAACTGATTTCAATATAATTTGGCAATTTTTGCTGGTGCCAGATTTTGTCTCTCTCGCTTTGGGTGCATCAAATATGTGAAATCGGCTGAGTATATATATGGAGCTATAATCACATCTGAGCGTATTTGAATATAATTTGTCAAATGTGCATCAAATATGTGAAATCGGCGGATAATATATATAGGAGCTATATCCAAATCTGAACCGATTTTAATATAATTTGACTAATTTATTTTCTAATCAAAATCCCGTTACATATTCCAAATTTCTTTGGAATCGAACATACATATCGTGTATGGTGCATAAAATACATGAAATCGGTCGAAAATATATATGAGAGCTATATCCAAATCTGAACCGATTTAAATATAATTTGACAAATGTATATTTGTTTTAATTTCCGCTACACATTTCAAATTTCATTGAAATTAGAGATACATAGCGTGTTTGGTTCATCAAATACATGAAATCGGTCGAAAATATATATGGGAGCTATATCCAAATCTGAACCGATTTCAATATAATTTGAAAAATTCATTTTTGCTCCCGATTCCGTTCCTTTTTTTAAATTTCATTAAATTTGGACATACATAGCGTGTTTGGTGCATCAAATGCTTGAAATCGGCCGAAAATATATATGGGAGCTATATCCAAATCTGAACCGATTTCAATATAATTTGACAAATTTATTTTCGGATCAAATCCCGTCACATATTCCAAATTTCATTGGAATCGAACATTCATATTGTGTTTGAGGCATCAAATGAACGAAATCGGTCGAAAATATATATGGGAGCTATATCCAAATCTGAACCTATTACAATATAATTTAGCAAACTTATTTTTGTTCCAAATTCCGTTACACATTCCAAATTTGGAGACTGTATCTTTAACCGATCAATGGATATGTGCATATAAAATCTAAATTTTTGGGAGGTACCTCCGATTCTGATGCTATATCTCCAGTTCCAAGTGGAAATTCAAAAATGTATATAGCCTATGTTACTTTCAGGCGATGTTGCAGTATATATGGAAATTTTCAGAAAAATCTATTCAGCAGTTTTCGAGTCCATAAATTACAAACAAACAAACAAACAAACGTACAAACATTTTCCTCTTTTATAGATATAGAAGATAGAGTCTACGACGAATATTTAGGGATGTTACAAACGGAATGACAAAGTTAATATACCCTCCTTTTCCAGATGGAGGTTATAAAAAGCTAAGTGCAGTATAACTTTTGGCATAAAATTTTGTTCTGACACTGGCGACTTGGCGAGTTCTGACACTGGATTTGGCGATGGTAGCAGAAAAAATAAGACAGCCCTGGAGCGCTACCGTGAGCTTATATCCCACTTTTTTTTGCCCTATATACAAGAATGACATGTGGTTTCAACAAATGTGCCATATGCCACATAGTACGTGCTCGGTGAACATTTTAAATTTTTTTAAATTTTAAATAAAACACAGATATTTGAAAATAATCGTGAAATCTAGGCGACCAATTCTGGCCTCCAAAACGCGAAATAACACGACCGGAAAATGACGGATACAGCAATTATTTTATTTTCTCTTGATTTCTTCAATTCTAGGCAAGAAAAAACTGGTTATCATTTCACAATACTGAACACCATTAATTGTTTGCCCTGAACCCGATCATTTTCAAGAAAAAGGTCCAATGATGACGTTAAGGATGCATTTGCTTTTCGTGTATCACCCGAGGAGTTTCCTCCTCCCAAATGCTATCAGTCTGCTTATTAAAGAAGCCATCAACATGGAAATAGGCCTCGTCTCAAATAAAAAGTTATCGACAAAATCAGCATTTTCATGTTGTTTCTCCAACAGTCAATCTCCGCTGTCTATGGTCAACTGGCTTCAGTTCCTGGGTCAATTGTCAAAATTCGTGGCATAGTAGATTTAAAGATACCAATTTACTGAGCTCGGTGTCAAATTAAGGTGGATGGAGTTTGAGCAACGTCATCACGTACAGATGTGATCAAACTGGTCGACTAACAGACTCAGTATATTTAATAATAAAGAATTATTTTGTTGTTGCAAAATGGTCAGGCTTAATCCAATTATTGTTGTTTTTATAAAAACGACGTTTGTTTATTAGTGGAGAAATAAATTCAATAAAAACAAGTAAAAAAGTATCAGGCGGTTTTTTTTCGACAGACGCATACCCTCACCCAATGTTCCATTATTTCAATATATTTTCACTTCTGTTATTATTATACAAACTGTTGAGCCTATATGGAATAGGTTTCATATTTTCTATTTCATTTTTATCTAAATATGATATGAATATTGCGAAATGCCAGGTTTGGACTATATCGACTACTTCCTTCACTTTATATAAGACATGTAATATTTTTTAAAATATTTGGAAATGTGCGTGAGGTATCAGATATAGTGGACCGAAGTATTCCATTTTCATACTTCATCTAATACAGATAAAAATATTGGTATGTGAAAAATTACAAGAAATTCGAACATTTATATGCAATTCTATGCGAAATTATAAATTCCGATAATTTCCATATTCATATCAAATTTCTGGTTGAGAGAAATATTTAGATATAGGGAGTTGTAATGAATCGCTGACTTTTTCGCAAAGTTATGACAGATATAATAACAACAGATTTGAAAAAATTATTGGATGTTCGAAATTTGAGAGAGTTGTATTTATGTGTGTTTTGCTTTTCGAAATGTTGAACCCTTTGTGGGGGAGGTTTCAGAAGGAGTTCGTCGATATATCCGATATTCATAGCAGATCTTATGTTAGTAGAAACCAGTAAAGAAAGTCTTAAGTCGGGCGGGCCGACTCTATGATACCCTACACCACTTTGCTAATTTAGTAGAGCTCCGCATAACAATTAAAAGTTTTTATGGGAGAATTCAATCATACACGCTATGATTATAATTATAATTTAAAGTTCAAAGGACTAAATATGCCGTAGCATTTGTATCTTTTAAATTTGGACTTGTGTTGTCCATTTGGTGCACAAATAATTTAAAATCGGATAAAGATATATATGGGAGCTATATCCAAATCGGAACCGATCTCGCTAAAATTTGGCAAAGATATTTCTGAGCTGTATTTGATATATTTCCTTGAATATTGTTGTTACAGAGTGAATATTACGGCTGCGGAGGACAAAAATAACAAATCGGATGAACAATATATATGGGAGCTATAGCTATATCTGAACCGATTTCGATCAAATTTGGCATAGTTGTTTTCAGGCCTAATTTGGTTGTATGTGCAAAATTTCATACTATTCGGGCTGATATTACACGTTTGGTGCACAATAAAAGGTAAATCGGACGAAGATATATATAGGTGCTATATCTAAATTTTGGCCGATTATCTCCAATTTCAAAAGAGTTCGTCCTTGGGCCAAACAAATGATTTGTGCAAAATTTCATCTGGATAGGGCAATAAATGCGAACAAATACTTTGTTTACAAAAATACATGGACAGACAGACGGACGGACGGACATGAACGGACATAAATCGACTCAGAATGTGATTCTATGCAGATCATCAAACGGAACTATGGGTCTATCTCGTTTCCTTTTGCCTGTTACAAACAAATGCACAAAGACATAATTCCCTGACCACCTTGTGGTGTAGGGTATAGTAATGGGATATATGAAATTTTTGCAGAGAACCGGATGTTTATTTCGGATTTCATGATCGTTTTGGTTATTCGAAAATTTGACCCTTTGTGAGGGACGTACCAGAAGGAGTAGACCGATATTTTCCATCTTCCTACCAGATCTTGGGTTAATAAAAAGTATTGTGATGTGTGAAACTTGAAAACAATCGGACTCCTATTTCACATTTTATTAGATTTATGCTTATTCAAAATTTTGACCCTTTGTGGGGAACATACTTGATGGATATTGTCCATTTTCGAACCTGACCTAGCACTGATGCAATTATTAGGATTCTTAAAGTTGGAGCAAAATCGAATGATCCTTTCTTTTTCTGTCCAGTAAAATATTTTCGTTGAAAATTTCAGCGTTTTGTGGGGGAGGTACCAGAAGGGATGGACCGATATTGCCCATCTCCGAACTCGATCTAAGCTTGACAGTAATATCACGATGTACCAAGTTTGGATCAAATCAGATACTACTATCTTTACATCGACTCCAAATGTCCTGAAACGTATTTGGTCCAAAGAGACCTAGGGTCAAAAACCGTTATTTTGATGAGCACTTTTGACCGTATCAAATGATATATACCCTCCGTAGCCATATGTCTGAAGGTATTAATATAAATATTTTAAAGTTATGCATTAGTCTCTCTACAGTTAACTCTTTTGGAGCATTATTGTGACTCTAAATTGATCACAATTTTGCGTAGCCGCAAAACTTTCATCATTTTGTTAAAACAATTTCACAACGAGAATGAGTTTTTCATTCGTACAGCTCTTTATTTTTACTAACTTAATTTGTACCTTCTATTAACAAACAATGGTTAGGTTAGGTTAGGTTAAAGGATGTGTGGCTGTGTAAAAACAACAACCACTCCACTCGGAGACCTACTGGCCCATTGTGATCATCCTAGTCTAGAAAAAAAAAAGTCGAAGTGAGGTAAGAAAGATAGTTAGTGTAGAATATAAGATTTAGAAGAATTAGAAGAGCTAGTGGGTTTGCGTCCACGGTGTAATCAGCGTGTCGTCCTTAGCCATTTTAGTCTTCTGGCTAATTGAAGAATGACTGCTGGTTCTGTTTCGGAGAGGCATGACAGGTCAGGCAGTAAGTGCTTACCCAGAAGCCTATGTCTTATTCCGATAAGGGTAGGACAATGACAGAGTAAGTGTTCCACCGTTTCTGTTTCTTCCTCGTCCTGACATAGCCTGCAGTATTCAGTGTCGTCACCCCCCCATTTTGAAGTCATGGCCTTTATGTTGCAATGACCTGTAATTAGGCCCACCACAAGCTTCAAGTCCAACTTCGTCATGGACAAGAGTGACCGTGATCTCCGTTCGGAGTTCACCGGCCAAATCTTTTTGGAGATGATGCATCCCCTTCCAGATAGCCAGTTCTGTTGAAATCTTCCAAGGTAGTGTTTATGCAGTACTTGAAAGAAGTGGCATAAAGGTGGCTTCACTGAGCTCTCGATCTCTAGATCTACTGACTCAGATCCGCGTCTGGCCAATTCATCGGCAGATTCATTGCCAGATATGTTGCAGTGTCCAGGGACCCAACAGAGCTTGACAACTGACTTAAACTTTTCCAGGGCATTCTTGCACTCCAGAACAGCCATAGACTTGATTGTGAAAGAATTTAGAGCTTTTAGGGCCGCTTGACTATCGACATATATAGTCACCGGTCCATCCCGTTCGTTAATTCTATTATTCAGCAGTTCTATGGCCATTCTAACAGCAAATATTTCTGCCTGAAAAACGCTGCAATCGCTGTTTAGCCTGAAGGATCTTCGGATACTTAGGCTTTCACAGTAGACTCCAGCACCCGTTCCACTTTCCATCTTTGAACCATCAGTATAGACAGCTATACCGTCGAAAGGTGGAGTGCCACGGGACCAGATATCCCTGTTTGGTATGCGGATGTCAAGTAGATCAAAGCTGTGCCTAGGGAGTATATAGTCACTAGCTATAGCCTGATTGCTTACATTTTCCACATACTTAAGAATGACAGAGTGCCCGAAGGGTTGACTCCGCCATTGTCCCAATTCGTTGAGTCGCAGGGCACACCTAGCAGCTAGTTCCTCTACAAATAAGCCTAGAGGCTTTAAGTTGAGTAGGGTGTCTAGAGCGGATTGTGGCGTGCTCCTGACCGCTCCTGTAATTAGTAGCGATGCGACTCTTTGTACTTTGTCAATATTCCTGCTGAAGGTGGTTTTCCGTAAGGAATGCCACCACACAAGTCCGCCATAGGTTAGGATTGGTCGGACGACTGACTCATATATCCATCGGATAATATGGGGTTTAAGCCCCCAACTCTTTCCTATGGAGTTCTTGCAGGAATAAAGTGCATTTAAGCCCTTTTTCGCTCGCTCCTCGATATTCCTTTTCCAGCTTAACTTCTGGTCTAGAATGGTACCGAGATATTTTGCTTCCGAAGAAAGGCTTAGAGTTACACCATCCAGCATTGGGAGAGAGAGGACGGGTATTTTCCGCCTCCTTGTAAAAAGTACGAGCTCAGTTTTAGATGGGTTCACGCCTAAACCATTGCAGCGCGCCCATCTGGAGAGTTTAACCAGAGCTCCCTGCATAAGATCCGTAATAGTTTGCGGAAATCTCCCAGCAATCAGCAGGACCACATCGTCGGCGTAAGCCACGACCTTTGTTCCGCTGTGTTCCAGATCAAGTAGAATGTTATTTATCACCAGAAGCCAAAGCAGTGGTGACAAAACGCCTCCTTGTGGAGTACCCCTAGTGACCGTTTTCCTAACAGAACACTCCCCGATGCTAGAGTTGATGATTCTGCTGCTGAGCATAACATCAATCCAGTCGACGAGAAGTGGTGGCACACTAAGTCTTTCGAGAGAACTGTGAATTGCCTCTAATGTAACACTATTGAAGGCCCCCTCGATATCGAGGAAGGCCGCCAACGTGAAACATGAGCTGTTCAGGTTCTTCTCTATATAACCCACGACGTCGTGCTGCGCTGACTCAACAGATTTGCCTTTCATATAGGCGTGCTGAGCAGTGCTTAAAGAGGTCAGGGGTATTAGAGATCTGATCTCTATGTCTATTAGTCTCTCTAGCGATTTCAATAGAAAAGACGAGAGACTAATAGGCCTGTAGTCTTTTGGAAGAACATGGCTTGGCTTCCCAGCTTTGGGAATGTAAGTGACTGTAACTTCCCTCCACAGTAGTGGGATGTGAGAAAGACGCAAACAAGCCTTAAATATCACCTCCAGGACTGGTATTATCTCCGCCGACGCATGCTGTAGCATGGCGGGGATAATGCCATCTGGACTCGGTGAATTAAAAGGTTTGAATGAGTTAATGGCCCACAAAATCTTGGGGGTGTTAACAATACTATTAGTCAGATTCACATCTCCCACTATGCTGACTAGGCCGTGTTGCCAATCGGTCAAATACCGCATCAGAGCAGTTCGGAAAGTGAGTACTGGCTAATAGATAGAGAGTCTCTAAACCTGAGTCAGTCCAGCTACCATCAGCCCGCTTTATGCTTCCAATGGATTTTGAGTCCTTTGAAAGTACTCTACGGAATCTGGAGGCTGCGTTGACATCATCTATGGACTCGGTGAAACACACCCAAGACCGTCTCTTGGCCTTCTTGATCTCACTGTTGTACTTATTGAAGGCTAGTTTATAAGCTTCCCAGTCCGTACCCAGTTTGGTCTTGTTGGCCTTATTGTATAGTCGTCTGCTAGTCTTCCTGAGCTGAGCTAGGTCTTTCGACCACCAGACAGGCTGGTGCCTTTTACCCGGGAAGGTTAGCGGACAGGCTCTTTCATAGCTGCCGATCAGGATCTTTGTTAGCAACTTGACGGAGTCGTCCACATCCGATGCCGAGGCCACTGGAAAATCACCAGTGGACTTAAGCATCCATGCGGTATGCTCCGCAAATTGATTCCATCGAGCCCTTCTCGGGTTCCTATGCGGTTTTTGATTCAATCCCTCTACCGAAATTTGGAATGTTATTTTCCGGTGGTCCGAGAAGGAACACTCAGTCGAAACTTTCCAGTTCAGTATAAGTGATTCATCCATGTTAGTGAGAGTGAGATCTATGACCTCCTCTCTATTCTTAATGCAAAAAGTCGCCTCCTTTCCCCGGTTACAGATTTTGAGATTATGAGATAAGATAAAATCAAAAATGTACTCACCTCTGGCATTGGTGTTACTACTGCCCCATTGAGAGTGGTGAGCGTTTGCATCACATCCAATGATGAGGCCGCCTTTTCCACCCAGTACTGAGGCCAGCTCCTCTACCACTTGGCCTGGTGGGTCGGGGTGCTCGAAGGGAAGGTACAGGGAGACGAGGAATAGTGTTTTGCCCGTCCTAGTCTCCAATCTGACCGCCGTGGCGTCTCCTCCGCTGAAATTGTTGAGGAAGATTAAGTTTAAGTTTTTCTTAGCGACGATACACGTTCTAACCTTTTCCCCATTGGAGGTGGCATAGGTGATGTACCGCTCACTCCCTAGCCCAGTTACCTTATTCTTAAAAATGTAAGGTTCCTGGACCAGGGCTATGTCAACTTCAAGCTTGGAGAGGGATAGGAGAAGCTCAGCCCCAGCTGCCTTGCAGTGATGCAGGTTAATCTGCACAATGCTAAGCAGCTGTGGCTTCGTTTCTCCTACTGCGACAGCGGCGTTAGACGGAACCGAATCCATCCTGTGCCGAAGTGCAATTTTCCTCCACGAGCCTGAAGGTATTCCTGGCCAGCAGTATCAACAGAAACCTTTATGACCAGGCCCCCTCCCTCCGTACTTGAGCCAACCAAGCGCCAGCCGTCCGTGCAGAGATTGGGATTCTGCTTCCCCAATATTATCAGCACGCGTGCCGGGTCCACAGAGGGCGGCGGCACCCATGCTGTCAAAATCCTCCTGCAGAGGATATCCTTCAGGGATACAGCAGCAAGTGCACTTCCATCCCAAAGTTCCTGAAGGCCAGCTACTGCGGTCACGAGGAAGTTCTTTGACTCCTCATTTTCGCAGCAGATGACCTTCACTCCCTTGTAGACGGTAGCACTGCCAAACTGTAACCTAGAAGGATCCTCCCCCAGGAAAACCTGTTCCCTCAGAGGGTCCTCAATGAGAAGCCACCGACTTTCGCTGATTTTGCCTTCCGGCTCAGCTCGGTCGATGACCGCTACACGGAGATTGTCCGGGTACAGGGTTTGGGAGTGTTTCCTCTTCCTTGATGTCTGGCTTGAAGGTTGTGGGTTGGTGGTAGCAGGCTTCGCCTTAGCAGACCTAGGGTCCACTGAGGCTGCTTGCACCGGCCTTGCCACTACCTCCCTACCAGCTACAGCTACTGGCGTAGAAGCCGCAGTTGGCGGAGGAGGAAGTTTGCCCGTTAACGGTTTCTTTGCCTCGGGATGTGGTTCCTCCGTTGACCGTCCTCTCTTCATCGTTACCCGAGAAGAGGATTTGGCCTCCTTTGGTTCCACCGGGCAGAATTTCCGTTAGGGGCGTCCTTCCTTTTGTTCCTCCGTTTTCCTGAGTTAGAAGTGGTGGGGGCTACACTAGATTCCGTTGGTGGTGCAACAGCCGAAGCTGTCTTTCCACCACCGGGAGAGGTGTTGTCCTTCACCCCAGCCCCACTAGTTGGCTTATCCTCAGACGGACTTACCTTATTAGCGGGGGCTGTAAAGAGAGAGGCAAGGTCCTTTTCGAGTGTACATTTAGGCACTTCCGGATGGTTCTTCTCGAACTTCCTTATTGCCTTCATGTTCACCCTAATCAGGGCTTTTTCCCTCTCTGTAATTTGTAAGGGTTCGCGACCGATGAAGCTCTTACAGTACCTCACCGACCGTTTGTAACCCTTCCTTATTTTTACCTCCTTCGATCCGGAGGCATCGCGGTTGGTTGGAACATCAGTATCCCTTTCCACGACGCCATCCTCGATCCGGAGGTTGGTCGCATCGGTAGGTACCGATGTAACCCCTTCCACAGGAGTTGACCCCCCCTTGGCAGCAGATTGAGTGCTCTCTACAGTTTTTGAAGCTGACTCACTCCTCAAAGATGAGGGTATGACGGTGACGTCAAGTTCCTCATCAGAGAGGGGTGAGTCATTCCCAAAGCCGGAGGGCACACTCTCTTGGCTGAGCCTTAGAGTGGTCTTCTCTAGAAGGGCGGACAGCTGTTCACTCTGTCGCTGTATGCTTTCACATACTACGTCTCTGTACGTTTCCAGAGTCACGTCCCCGCCCGAAGTTAAAATCTTGTCCATGGCCATGTCCTGGGTCGACACCTCCGAAGAGGTGGTTGAATAATTGTCGGTTAATGTTTTTGTTTTTGTTGTTGTTTTTTGTTTAGTTTTGTTCTCCATAAGTTATCGGGACATTGGAGGTGACGATGTCCGCCATGACATAGCCTCCATATCATGGTAAGGACTTGGCAGCTAAGCCTATTACTCGTCGAGGCGCCCAGGTATCGACGAGGCAACCGTTCTAATACAGTCGGTACCCTGACTGCAAACCTTGGAATACTGATGTTCACGGTTTACGTAACACCCCAGCATTAGGGGGTCCTTTGCGGTGGACCAGGCCGTTGACTGGATAGTTTAGGGGCGCCAGTGCCGCCTCGTCGAGTCCAGGGATCACAGGCACTCGGGTATTTAGTCCGAGACTCTCCCCCTAGAAACCGCTGAGCTGTCCGCGACTGCTTATTTGATTCGCAGCTGCCCGATATATCTACCGGGCGTCCCACTATCCGCAAACCGTGGACGCGTCCGGTAGCACTCAGCTATGCTTCCGCGAACAAACAATAATAATTGTTCAAATGTCAAACAATGACTCTTCGTATGACACCCAAATTAAAAATTGCGTTCTAGTTGAGACAACTTTTATTTCACGTTCGGGACTGGTCACTTGGCCGCCTATTTCGTGCGATTTAACGCCTTAAGACAATTTTTTGGGCATGATTGGTTCAACAAATACATGAAATCGGCCGGAAAATATATGGGAGCAATATCCAAATCTTTTTCAATATAATTTTGTAAAATTATTTTTGTACCAAATCTCATTACAAATTTCATATTTAAAAACTGCATCTATAACCGATCGATAGATATTTGCAAACTACATTTAAAATTGTTGGAGGTTCCTCCGATTCTGATGATTTATCTCCAGTTTCAAGTGGCATTATAAAAAGGTATATAGCCTATGTTACTTTCAGGCGATGCTATAATATATATGGAAATTTTAAAGAAAATCTGTTCAGAGATTTTTGAGTCTATAAATTACAAGCAAACAAACTACCAACATTTTCCTCTTTTATAGATATGGAAGAAGATGGCCATGTAGAAATTTATTGGGCTTTGGAATTTCTCATTTTTATGTGCTTTTAAAATATCTCTTTTTGGGTTATATTCATCATTATTTGGAAAAAATGCCCTCAAACCACATAGTATGCTGTTTTCTCTACAGGAAAATACCTCAGAATCGGTAACCTCAAACAAATTATTCACATTGCAATTCTAAATTCCACAATCTACTCTGACAAATGCATATTTATTATTTTTATCAGAAAAAATGCTTTGTATTGATGTTATTTTGTGTCTTTTTTGTTGTTATTTTTTTTTTTTTCTTTGCAGTCCAGTGCAACAACTATGCAACGATGATTCATATTTGAGTCCCCTGTAGATGAACAATAAAACGTTTTCGACAAGAGAAAGAGATACCCTTTCAAAGCTGCAATTAACCACAGGATGTGTGCATAGGTGGAATAACGATGCTAGTGCTGATGGTGACAAGGATTAAAATAATTGCAATCAATCTTTATCCTTTTCCCCAAACTGCTGATGTATTCATAACTCAACTACCAATCTTCGGACGACAGGTGTTGTGCCTCCGATATAGGATACCATCATCATTTTTATTGCATCGCATTGCATTGGTATTTGTGTGTAATATATATGAGTGTAGATATGTACGATGTGTATATACTTTATGTATTTAAAAATTATATTTTTAAAATCTACGTAAATATCAATGTACGGATTTTTTCTCTTTGTGTGTATGTTTGTAGCCACATCATTTTAATTAAATTCCAAATAATTGGCGTCTCTTTAATTAAACAAAACTAGCAATTTGCATATCGAATTTGTGTTTAGTCAATAAGTTATTTTTTTAATCAACTGTAAATAATTCCCTTTTTAAACAGAATTTGTAGTTAACTATATATGTATATATGTATTTGTGTACTTGTACTTGTTCTTGGTGTCCCAAGGCAAACCAAAGAATCAATAAAAGACTTTTAATAATTTGAGATCTTCGGTTTTTTGCACATTTACCCATGGAAGTGTAAGTAGAAATTTTGTAATTTAATCGAAATAAAGTTAATGGAGTCCAGAAATCATATCCGGAAACCTGATGATTAGTAACCCTCAAGATGGAAGCTGTAGGTACAAATCTTGAAGCACTTCCAATGTTAATACCCTACACCAGATAGTGGTAAGGGTATTATGACTTTGTGAATTTGTTTGCAACATGGACAAGGAAGCGAGATAGACCATTCTTGGGTGGCGCGTGCTGAATGCGATGGTGCTGAGTCCTGTTGGAATGTCTAAGGTCTGCGGCCAATATGTTCAGCTCACGAGCCATTTTCGGCCACTGCGACGCGGATTTCGATTAGGTGGCTTCTTTACTTTTCGAACCATTTCTGCTGATGGTGCTGTTTTCTTCCGTCCATTTTCTTGACGTCGGGCTACGCTACTAGTATCACGGTAACGAGCGTTGGTACGAGGCACAAAAGATTTATTCACATTTAAATGCTGGAGTACTCTAACGATAGCCACTTGTGGTTTTCCAGCCAAATATAAAGAAATCACACTCACCAAAATGCTTTTGTTCGCTTGTAGACAATATAATGTGCTGTCACTGGAATAATTTTAACAGCTGTCGGACGAGTGGCGTAGAAATGACAGCAGTCTGTAGTTGGTTGCAATTTTTTCACCTCACCCTGGGTTTCACCAAGTTTGACAAAAGTTCTTGCAGGCTAAATTTGTCTTGTATTAATCATTTACATAAAATTTAATAATAATATATATGGGAGCCGAGCAGAAATATAAAAATACCTATTTGTTTGTACCCGTTATTAAAAGAAAATTTATCGTACACAAACCACATTTCTTTCGTTCAAAATATTTCATTTGTTTTATTTACATTCATGTATTTAATAAACATCATTTTTTCAATATTATATTCAAGACAAGAAAGGGGCCGTACCATAAATTATAAAGCATCGAATTGGTAATTAAAAAAAAACTAACAAAATAACAAAACTTTGGACATAACTAGAAAGTAGGAATTTGCAGGTGCTAGCAACCATTGTATGGTTACTCCAGTGGGATTGTGTGTGTCCATTTGCATTGAGAATAGTGGGTGTATGTTGTATATTTTAAGATTTGTTGTAGTTTAAGCCCAATATACTGCGAGCCTGAAAGTAAAAATAAAAATTTGATCATTTAATGAAAATGAACATAGACAAAAGTAAAGCATACTTTTAGGCATTTTACTAAATATATAAATAATATGGATTTTTTAGAAACAAATGAACAAAGTTTGAATTAAAAAATATTCAACTCCTTATTGTATAGAAGATTGTGTGTGAAATAGATTGATATCAAGTGTGTTGCTCATCCCAAAGACCCATATATATCGCTTGAATAAATATAACGCAGGGCCCATAAACCTATCTAAGATATATTCAAGTTGGAGACTGAACTACAATAACAATTCATTTTATACCATAACCCGACTGAAAAAGTATCGGTCAAACCTAGGTTTTAGACTCAGTTAAATTACTAACAAAAATCAAAAAATCACTGCCGCTTATTTAAGATAGAAATCAGAAGTACGCCGTTGGATGAATAAGAACTACATCGCATAGAAATATTATCAGCACTTTATAAAGAACATCTTCTATAGGTATTCTGGTGATTATATAATGCATGTGTCTTTACTAAATATATTGATATTTGGGATCTTTCTAAAGGTGAATAAGTCTTCAAAAATAGGAAAATTAGAAAATAGGTAAAATGTAATATAACTATATATAGAATACTTCCTATAGATATCCAAAGAGGTCTTCCACAATTTTTTCTATACGAATTCTGAAGATAGAAGAAGATAGTTTAAAGACCTCCTTAGAGTATGAATACCACCTTAAATGGTATATTTATCGATAAAAGGGGTTCTTATTAAACTTGTAGGGCTAGAAGAACGCATTAGTACCCAAAACGTTAGGTGGACCATAAACACATTCATCCGGGCAAGACGACATTATTCCCGCCATTTCACAGTATGTTTCGACGTCAATATCTCCAATTCCAATTGTCTTTGCCTATTCCACATCCCGGTACTATGGAGGGAAGTTACGGTTTCTTACATAATAAAAGCGGGGAAACCGATCAGTTTTTCATCCTTCCTTTTGAAAACATTAGAAAGGCTAATTGACACAGAAACCACATCTCTACTACCCCCGACTGTCATCAGCACTGTTCAACATGCCTACAAGAAAGGTTAATCCGTTGAAACAGCGCAACACGATATTGTAGGGTACATTGAGAAAAGCACGAATGACCCCTTGTTCACCTTGGCAGCTTTTGGGAGTCTTCAACAATGTCACACTCGAATCCATTAATGGTTCCGTTTTAAAACTTAAGGTACCTCAACTCCTTATAGATTGGATTGATAACATGCTTAGTAGCAGAATTATCAATTCAAACATTGGGGAAATATTCGTTAGAAAATCGGTCACCAGTGGCACGCCGCAATGTGATGTTCTTTCACCATTGCTCTGGCTTTTAATTATCAACAACATACTCATAGATCTGGAGCAAAATAGGAAAAAGGTAGCCGCTAAAGCTGATGATGCTTTCCTATTGATTGCTGGGAAATTCCTGCAAACAATCTCACACCTAATGCAGGGAGCTCTAATCACCTTATCAAGGTGGGCACGTCACCATGGACTAGGCGTGAACCCATCAAAGACAGAGCTCGTTCGCTTAAGGAGGAAACTTAAATGTCCTTCATTTATAAGACCATTGCTAGATGGGGTCACGCTAAACCTCTCCTCTGAAGCCAAATGCCTCAGCATATCGAGCTCCAGTCTGGTGGTATCCCTTGAAAAAGTCATCCTACTTATGTCACATTGACAAAGTTGAAAGAGCCCTACTAATAATTGTACAAGCTTAAAAACGAATTATTTGCGGTCAAAAAAGCCATAGACCTATTGGTCACGAGGAATAATGCCCAAGCAGCACTGAAAACTTTAAACTCCTCCACAATTAAGTCTAGGGCTGTTTTGGAATTCAGGAGATATTTGAAAAACACTGGGTTGTCCATCAAGCTCTATTGGGTTCCTGGTCATTACAATATTCCAGGTAACGATAAACCTTTCAACGGAAAATGTGCTTAGACTACGAAAAGAACAACCTTAAGCTGTGGATTACCAAGTAACTGGTAGACAATCACAATAGTGGACTGCATCCCCGTAAAATTCGGAGGGAACACACCTCAGAAGAATAATTCAGTAACTATTTCTACTACTACTACTATTTTTCTGTATCTAAAACCCTGCCCAAAAACGACGAAGTCAAAGAGCAGCCCTTAATGCTTTTAAGAATTCAATTTAACTTACTGTCGTAAAAGCTGAATTTAAAGATCTGTGGACGCCGGATGTTGTTCCGCCAATTTTCATAAGTGTCATTTGTAATTGCACTGCATCATCCATACGATTTTCCAAGAATTCCCAGGTTTTTCGATGGTCCGGGGAGTGATCTTGTAGCATATACAGTTCTGTCATTTTCATAATACTTGCCAGGCCAATGCGGCGAGTGTACCAACCAATCTATTAAATAAGGAAATTTAAAATGTATTCTAAAAAAAATTGAAGTTTACTTACATCCACTGAACGATCTCCCGAATAGTAACAAATATCATCGACTAGAGTTAGAACCTGAGCCAAAGCTGTCGAGGCATTCTGTGGTAATGCTATTAAAGCCAACGCCTGAGGCCATTGACCCTTGTATGGTGCCATCATCTCAAGACGTAATCGAACAAAACGTACCAAAAATTCTAGAGGGTTACCAATTTCCTTTTTACCATCGTCCGTTTCTTTCTTGAGGATTTTCAATAGTTCTTCATTGCATTTGCCATTGAAATAGGAGACCAAATCGAAACCACCCTGAGGGAACATGCCATGTACCACACTGGGATAGCCGGCATCTTCGGCTCCTTGTACAATGGCATTGCGGGTCCAGCCCAAAGTGGGAACATGTTGTAAGGCAGCCTCTAAGATTTTTACACGCACAGCCTCGGCTTTGGCATCTCTTTCGTTTTCTTCTTCTTTGCTTTTAGCTTTTTCTTGTTCTTCGAATTCTGCTTCACGTTTTTCTTCTCTGGCCCGAAATTCATCAATACTTTCTGTGGATTTTTTACAATATGTCCTAATCTGATTAGTGCTGTGACATTGTGTAGTGGTGGACAGTTTTAGTGAGCATCGACCAATTGAATTCCGTGAACTATCACTAGCAGCCAAAGAGTTCCAGTATTGCAGAGATTGTGGGAGTTTCTTACTGTCGGTTTGTTCATGGGAATTGTCATAATTAATGGCCACAACTGGCGAGGTGATTAAGTTACGACAGGCAACATGGCTTATGTTAACATCTGAAAATAAAAATATTGAAAGCATGTAAAAGTTATTAAAATGTTTAATATATTTTACGTATAGCGTCTTCTATCAAGAAATTACAGCTGTTCAATAAACAAGAAAACTAACAAAGATCTGTAAGACTTTTTATTAAATAACGGAGACCCAAAATATCAATCGAAAAACCAATAAAGAAAGTCTAAAAGTCGGGCGAAATTCCATCACATTTGGCTAATATTACACGTTTTGTGCATAACAAAAGGCAAATCGGACGAAGATATATATGGGAGCTATAGTCAAATCTGAAAATGTAATCGGACGAAGATATACATGGGAGCTATATATAAAGTTTAATCGATTATATCCAATTTTAATATGGTTCGCCCTTGGGTCAAACAAATGACTCGTGCAAAATTTCATCTGGATCGGGGAATAAATGCGACCAGAACTTTGTACATGAATAAATTGCTCAGAATGTGATTCTAAGCAGATCATCAAAAGGAACTATGTGTCTATCTCGTTTCCTTTTGCTGTTACAAAAAAATGCACAAAGACATAATACCCTGAACACCTTATGGTGTAGGGTATAATAAATAGCAAAGGCTATAGTCGTGCGGGGCCGACTATGTGATACCCTACAACACTACAATATGTTAAAAGCCCTCTTATGTCCGAATCCATTTTGGAATATTTCGCTTTTGAAATTATGTAATGGAGCACTACCCTTAGCATTTTGACCAGGGACATTTGCCCAATATTTACGCACCCCGTCGTATTTTGCGATCATCTCCAAAAGTAAAAGGCCCCTCTGTATCTCCAAATTTAGACTCTACTATACGATCTTCTTGTCTACGATATTTGGCTATATTCGTCAACGAAATCAGCAAAAAATAGGTAGAAGTTCGCATTTTGTATATTTCGGACATCGCCTGTAAGTAATGTTGGTATTTTTCAGACAAAAGTAGTGGTCCATTCTACCCGCTGTCCTAAACTCTAACTTCATGCGAGATTTCGTGTCCTTTGGTTTCTATTTATGACCTTTATAACGGCTGCAAAATTAGGAAAATTTTTAGTTGTTGGTCCATTTCAACCCCTAAATATATTGCGGACATCTGTGAAAACAATAGACCTAGCCCTTCTGAGCCTAACCATACCATTTGCGTGAGGATCGGACGATATTTGCAATCTATATATAATATCCCAAACCTGTGTTGTAAGGTGGAAAAATATTACAAAATGTACACTTTAATATTATAAGTCAAATTGAAAAAATCGCATGCAATTAAAAATATTAAAAAATAAAAAATTTCACAAAATACTACTAAATCTATATTAACATTATTTTTGACTTATTTTTATGCGATTTTTTAGATTTTATACTTTTGTGTCAAGAGGGCATTCTGAATTGACAAAATTTGTCAAAATCGGTCCAACCATTCCATCTAACATTCCTTTTCTGTGTATATACACATTGTATATATTTCGCTATATATAACCGATATATTTACTATCGGCATCTACGTAACGGTCAGAATTGACCTGTTCGTCTATTTATGATTTCGCCGGGACTAAAAATATTCGCCGTTTAATGGAAATTTGACTTTTATTTAACACAAATGTTCTAGTCTTTTTCACCCACTAAATATTACCCGATGACCATCAAAATTGGAAGGCTTCTGCCCAGCCCGAAGCTTTAGCCCCATGCTAGTTTTCGCGTTGATTGGCCCATATTTGCGACCTGTAGAGCAACTGCAAAATCAGGATTTTTTTCAGTTTTTGGTCCATTTCGACCCCTAAATATTGTGCGATTATCTCTATTCTGACCTTAACCCCACCTCCATTCTAAATTTCGTGAAGATCGGGCCATCATTGCGACCTGTAGGGTGATTACAAATTAACATGGACAGACGGACGGACGGACATACATAGCTAGATCGACTCAGCTCGGCGAGATAGGAAGATCCATATATTCTTTCCTATGTGGGAAACCAATATTTCGAGGTGTTACATAATTTTTGACTCAATCAAACTTATAATACCCCCAACAGATAGTGTTGTAGGGTATAAAAAATTAAATTAAAAAAACACTGCACACTCTCAATCTAATATACAAGACACAAGAACTTTCACCGATCGTGGATTTCGACTTAATCAAAATATACAAAAAGTTACAGTGCAAATTCAAGGAAATTATATACCTGAGGGTCTGAAATTCCAACTACTTTTATAAATAAAAAGACGTATATTGACAGTCATATCTGCTTGTACGAGACTTCGAATGATTGTTGAATGATCTTACTTTAAATGAAATGTTGATTTTACAAAATAATTATAGTAGAAAAAGGGAAGAAGGTTATGAAGTGGAATGTTCGACCAATTCGGCCTATGAAGCACGACTGAATAGTATTCACTCTGACGCGGTCTCAGAAGTCAGAAGAGCAAAAGCTGCCCCGACAAACCCGAGTAGTTTTGGGACAGTTAAGATCCGGATGATGCAGTCGCATCAATTCGTATTGGGCCCGGATTGACAGCGATGTGCAGAACATCTGCCCAGTTTGTGACACAGATCCCCATGACACGCTGCACCTATTTCGCTGCCCCGCCAAACCTACTCAACTAACTCCAGTGTCGTAGTGGACCCAACCCGTACAGCTTGCGTCTTTCTTGTAGCTGGACTTAGAAGCAATTGCCGAACAAGATGAATCAGAACGAACACAGCAGTAGGAGCTGCTATAACAGCAACAACAACCTATGCGGCCCAGTGTGGTCTGCGAATATAAGTGCTACGCAGTGGAAGAACATCCAGACCTGCCCGAATGCTGCCCTGAGAACTGCGACAGTGTCCCACCTCATGCCACCAGAGCAACTTCTACATGAGAATGCGAAGGTGCTTCCCGTACTGCAACGGAAGCATATGGTCATGCTGACGACCATATGCTTCCGTTGCAGTGGATGACGAAATCTCCTTAAACAAAACTATACCTAGTCTGTACTTTATAGTTGTGAAGATTTGACCGAATTCTTTCATCCCTTGTTTCTTTGCAGCACATTCACAAAGAAAAAAACTTTGACTACCTTAATGCCAAATTCCTTATACATCAAGTTAAACTAAATTTAAAACAATACATCTCAAACATGTGCAGTGTAAAAAAGTTAACATTTATTATTATTTCATAATTTGTTCGATACGTTTCTACGTATTCAAAGCGTCACTTTTCAATTCATGTTTCGGAGCATTGTCGAAACACTCGCAAACACGTCCCAGCAGACTTCGAATCAAATCGAAAGTACATAGATTCTGATTGAGTAATTCAATCTTTTTGTCACGACTCAACTGGAAATCCACACCAGCCCCGGTAGTGTCATTTTGCACAGCAATATCCAGCATCTTTAATTGTTCCATATCGATGGGGGTGTCTCGACCCTCCTGCACCTTTTTCAATTCACCTTTGTAATGGGCCTCGGACAAATCCAAACCTTTACGCAAGGGCGATAAATAGTTTTCTTCAATGTCCTTGGTAAAGGACCAAAATCCTGTGCGATTTTCGGCATCTTTCAGGGCAATGAAACGCAAAGCGTTGAGGGTAGAAATGATTTTATCCGAATTCTCGATTAGATCAGTCTCAACACCATGTGGCAGTTTACAGATGTTATGGAGAAAAATGGAACGGAAATCTTGTCCCGCAAATGTTGTGGGTAATGGTGATGATGTCTTCAATGCTTCCGCAACTAAATCCTTGTAGATTGTACTCAAATAACCACAAAGGCCTTGGTGATTGACAGTGGCCATAAGATTCTTTAAGATCAGATATTTTCCCTCATCGTCGAAGGACAAAATGTATTGGCGTAATATTTTAACACCTTGTTGCCGTATATGGGTCTGTGACGAAAATCCCACCAGATGACATAGAGATTTACAAAAATCTTTGTGAATATCCAAATCTAGATCTATGGAAGGTATCTTTCGGTTTGCCAAATTTGTGAGGGATTTTTCCACCAGTTTTAGAGCTTTTTCATGAAGAGCGGGAAATTTTTCATTGAGCAATTCTTGAGCCAAATAAATCGTCATTTCACAGACATACATGGGATTGTAAACTCGTGGAATATGTGAGGCACCAATACCCTCGGCAATAAGTAAATAATAGAATATGGCCAAGTTGCCCAGTGGCATATCATCTTCACTCAAGAACCTATTGCCAATCCTATTTCCAGTAAGACCATCGTTCTCTTTAGCTTTTAATTTCCATCGGTATTTTGTCTCCACAAACGAGAGGAAAAAGTAAGGATCGGGCACACACTTGATGACGCCCTGTACCAGAGAACGGGCACATTGTAGCGAATAGGTGTTGGTCTTACTCTCCAACCTGTTGCTCAAGTCGAGCAGTGAAAAGGGATTGCCCATAACATCGACCAGAAAACAACACAAAATGTTACGTCTACTGGCTGATGTGCAATTACGGAATATCTCCTTTTCACTGCGTGGCTTGGAACAGATATCGGCCAAAAGCGGCTGATAGAATAAGTCCAGAGTTATGTAGTGCATCAATATGTTTTGAACATCTTCATCCTGTTCCAGAAGTTGCTTCTCCTTTTCATCATAGCCGACGTATAAGTACTCGGGTTCTGGTAACATGGCCAAGCGGGTCCAAATCGATTGCAATGCCCATTCCAGTGACATTGCTTTACGGTCGCCAAGCCGTAAGAGGACCACTTGCATAGCTCTCAAGGCCGAGTTGAAGACGCGTTCGAACATATTTTCCTCCACCAATTCCAGCAATTCCATTAACAAAGATTCTGGTGGGGCATGTGCGGCCATTGTCTTCAACAATTCTTCGGCACATATGAACAGCTCCGGTTCCTTCTGGTGCACTTCTTCAGTCAGGTAATCTTTGCACACATCATTGTATAAATCAATGGAAATTTCTCGCAACAAGGACACATTCCGCGGTGCCTCATTGGCGCTGGTGAATAGCAGAGCAACACCTTCATATTGACGTTCTTTGATCAGCTGTTTGACCAAAGCCTTGAGATTTTCCCCATGTTCGGTCGGCGGTGCCGGTTTGTCAAAGCTGACTTCATTTTCATCAGTCATTGAATATTCATGTTCCAACTCTTCACTCATTGCTCGATGTCTCCAAGGTCTATTTTTAACTTCACTTTGTTCTATTTACTTCTAATGATTTATTCACAAAATTCATTAATTAATGCAAATTAATTTTGCAAATTTTGCGAACTGAATGCCTCTTTGTAATCTCGACGTACGAATTCAATGCTTTGTTGCCTCACTCACAAAAAGAGGTCATTCATAGCGGTTCGTGCTCTTAGCAAGAACTACTTTTTTTCTCTCACACTCTCTTACAATTTAGTTTTAGCGCAAAAGAACAACAACAAAAAAATCACACTTTCGTAACAAGAAGAATCAACCACCATGGGGCTACAAATTATTGTGAAATACTTTAACTGCGTTTGTATTTTAAATATTGTCCAGAAATATTTCACACATCCTTTTTTTATTTTATGTCCATAGCCTTGACTTACTTTTGTTATTTAATAATTTTTGTAATTTTATTATTTTATTTAAAGCGCTAAAATTTGCCATTTTCCTCTACTCCAGCACCACACTCAGAAACGACAAACGAAACGTCTTTTTGTACTTGTAAATAAGAACTGAAATTGAAAGCAGAAGAGAGAGCGCAACATAAAAAACGACCAAAGAGTTGTTGTTTTGTTTATTATTGGAATTGGAGATTTAAGAGAGAACAGCTGTCAAAGCAATGCACAGTGCTGTTATTTTGGTTATTCGAATGGGTGTTCCAATAAGAAATGCGTGCCATTAGGGTAGTTGCTATTAAGGGAGTTCACATTTGATGTTTAAAAACAACCCACTTGGCCGATTGTATTACGACACCTTCTTATTGGAGTTTTTATTCGAATTATGTATTCATTTACGTACAAGAATTTTTAACCTTTGCAACCTTGCACTAGAAACGGGTCCCCATGGAGGAACGAAGACAATGTGGGGCATAGCAATCACCTGAATACAATTTTTTTCTTTCGGTAGTCTTGAAAGTGACTTTTGGTAGTCGTGAAAGGTGAGATAAAGAATGCAAAAAAGTCAAACGCCATAATTTTTACATTTTTTTTAAATTTAATTGAATAAAAGCAAAAAATGTGGGAAATACCATCAAATTTTTGAATAAGTTCAGATTTGTTCGAATTGGTCACCTTTGGCAGGAAGTATGGCCTTCAAAGGTAAATGAAACCGTCACACGCTGCCCGAATGTTGCTCTGCGGTATTTTGACCCATTCCCGACGCCTGCTTGAGGTGATCGATACTTAGTGCCAACCTTACTTCCCACAATACTCCAGAGATAATAGTCCAACGGATTGGTATCCGGAGATTTTGGTGGCCATTGTGCGCTAGAAATTAAGCGAGGAACCTCATTTTGTAACCATTCTTGGGAGGCTCGTGCTGAGTCCTGTTGGAATTTAATACACCCTCCAAAATATTTTCGCGATAATATTCGGCATTTATTCTGATGCCACGGTCGATTAATACGAGCGGAGAGCGACCATCGGCGGTTATGCCGGCCCACACCATCACCACCACTGGCGGCCAACCGAAGGTGCACCTTTTTAGCTGATCTCTTTGGCAAGTAAACACGATCAATTTGTTTGTTCACAAACTGCTGGACAATAAATGTTTTCTCATCGGAGAAAACCAAATTCGGCATTTCACTACTTTCGGCGAAGCGAATCAACTCTTAGGCTGGAAATACATAAAGAGCTGTTTCGTTGGCTTAAGTCACCGGCTGGCTTCTTCGTAGATGAACAAAGGAGTTTTAGGTTGACTTAGTTCGATTTTGGGCCTAGGCTCCTTTGTTCATTTCCGAAGAAGCCAGCCGATGACTTAAGCCAGCCAAATATGCTCTTTATGTATTTCCAGCCTTAAGTTGATTGCAGTTGTTTTCATCTCACCCTGTATCATTCTATGCTCCCATTTGTAATTCGTAACATTTCAATAGTTATTCGATAGTTCCGCTTAAAATTCGAACTATTCCATTTGTAATTCGAATTATATTATTTGCCTTTCAAACAATCAAATACAAAGCCAATGTCAAATACTTTTTGTATTTTTGGTTTTGTATTCAAACGAAAAAATAATTATAATTACAAATGGAAAAACTCAAATTAAATTGAATAATTTTAATTTCAAATGGAATTCTCGAATAACAATTGAAATTTATTGAAATGGAAATATTCGGATTTTGAAATTCTAAAATTTTACGTTTTGAATTAAGTCAAAAAATTATTCATATATTTTTGGTAGATTGGTCGAAACAATTCTTCTTTTATTTTTATGGTATATAAAATCCGGGATTTCAAACAAATAAAATTATTGCCAGGGAGCCCACGGAGCATGGGACTACCTTATATAATTGTGTCATGATAATTTCATTGTGGAATTAAGAAGGTAAAGTAATGCAATCATATGATTACAACTTTTTTCAAAATTATTGACTACATCTCATTGTCAAAATGTATGTTTACAAATCCATTGTATACACACAAATCGGAGATGGGAACCTATTTTCTTTGCATTGAAATTTAACAAGGTAAGTAACAGAAAATGCAGAGATGGGAATGTTTATTTGAAATGACTTTACCATCTTAATTTTACCATGGGTTAATACAAACAATACACAAATAAAAAAGTTAACCGTTTTGTGCTTGTTTTAATTTTTTGACATAGAAAAATGCGTGAAGGGTCTTCAAATTGAATATTAATTGAACATAATTCCCATTGGAATAGGGAAGAACCTGTTATTTTCCCTGTCGCTCTCATTAGTGTTAGTTTAAGAAGCTTGAAGTCCTTGCTAGGCATATTTTATGACATTTCATAAAGGGATTACAGAGCTGCACTAAAATCCTGCCGTCGTTTTCCATTATAATTTGACATTAATATGCCTAGCCATGACTTCAAGCTTTTTATGTACTTGCACCTTAAGTTCGTGTTTTTCCAGATAATCGCATGAACTGACTGGACATTTGAAATCTAAAATGAATTATACAGAAAATTTAGCTGTCGAAAAATTGTTATGAGTAAATATTTTTTTTCAGCAAAAAAATTTTAAACTCTCTATAACTTAGCAATTGCTCTGTTCAAGATCTGCAAGAATGTAAACATTTTTACTCCCATAACCAATTCTCCATTTATGATATCGGAAAAAATTGCAAAACTAGTAGATTCTTGCAGGTTCTAAAAAAAAAACATAGAAATTGTATTGCGAATATACTCTCATCTTGCGTTTCCACTGCACTTGATTCGCTCTCTATTCGTTGTTTGACCCTTAACTATGAAAAAAACTACCTAATTCTTCACACAAAATTTCCTGAGCGAACACTCATATTTGTACGTTGTTCAAATCAAATCACTCTCAGAACAACGAAAAAATACGTCCCATCCCTAACAAATGAGACCATTTATCGAAAAAATAAATTATGACATTTAAAAATTAAAAATAGAAAAATTTGATGAAATTTTAAAATTTTTTGGGAAGACTGAAAATTATGAATAAAAACTACAATGTTGAATGGCGTATGTACATTCAAACGAAAGTAAATTTTGTTTTCTCTCTCATTTGAGGTACGCATTTTGTCCACGAGTTAAAATTTCCACAGAAAACGCAAACAAAAGAGGCAACATTTTCAAAAAGTTTCTATCGGCAGAAAAAAATGTTTGACAAGTGTCTCTCCAGCAGAATTTAAAAATGGAAAAACACAAAAATGTTTTCAAAATGTCAACATTTACACAAAAAGTTGAAATCGTGAATGGAAATTGTAAAATTAATGATATAATAAATCTTTGGGAGGAAAACAATAATTTCTTCTATTCATATTAGTGAGAATTTCATGTATTTTCGTATAAATTCCCATTAACATCAACAAACAAAATTTTTGAAAAAAGGAATTATTTTACTATGAATTACGAATCGTGCCGTATGAACGGGTTAATTCGTGTACTTAATTCTGAGAGCGAACAACGTTGTTCGGTTTCCAATGGAAACATGCTATCATTTATTGGACTTTGGTTTATCAGAAATATTTTCTACAAATAATTGGCTCTTATCGTATCGTATACACACCCATAGAAACAATCGATTATCATATAAAACTGTCAATTTTGAGCGACTGTGTGTATTCTACTTGAGAATTTTTAACACCAACAATCGATTAATCGAAAGTCGACTTACGTATCCCTAGGAAAAATGTAACAGTCGTTCAGCAGCCATCGTGGAGAGTACTTGTTCTCGCGTAGTCGGAATTTGTTGTTTATGTTGTGAAAGAGAAGAGTGGGAGAGTTAGAGAGTTGAAATTTGCATTGATTGAAGTTTTCAGTGTTGGTGGGGAGGTGCAAATTATTTTTGCTGCCAAAAATCCAAGTTTATGAAAGAAAACAGAGTTAATTGAAGTTGGCTCAAATTAAAATTGTGTTTTTTTGTTGTGGCTTTAAATTGAAATATAATTATATTCAATGGAATATGGAAAATCATATTAATTCAAGTGTGGAGAAAATCTCATTGTGTTATTTACTTTTTCCCCCTTGTTTTTTCATATATTCTTAACTCTCCGGCGATTGGTGTTTAGTGGTGTATTTGTATTGTGTGCGAACGAGAGAAAAGTGCGTACTGTTTGTTGTTCGAGAGGGTGGAATAGGAATTGCGGGGGAAAATTACTTGGCGGAGAAGCATTTTTTTACTGAAACACAAAAAGCCTGCTGCAAAGCAGAAGAAGAAAATGGTCAATTAGTGAAGTTGTTGTATACTTGATTTATACAAAATTTAATTGTATTTTTTTAAACTTGTGCACGCCAAAATGGCAAAAAATGGGAAATAAATTTCGAAGTGAAAACAAAATGTTTTAAACGCAAATACAAAATAAATAAGAGAAAAACAGATATCTTTATTTGTTTGCTGCAGCTCGGGGCGGCGGCTGTTGCAATTGGAAAACGATATTGTGGATTTTTGTTTGTTGGGTTTGTAGTTGTTGTTGTTGTGGTTGGTAATATACAACCTAAGTGGAGCCCAAAATCCTGTGTCGGTCACTGTGTTGTTGGTAACCACAAATGAAAAAAGAAAAAACCGGCTAACCTATCCAACCAAACAGCCAGCAGAGCAGAGCCATTGATTCATCTTTAGAGGCCAAAAGAAAAATCACAAAATCCTGTTTTGTAACCTTAAGAAATTAAGATAGAAGAAGAAGAAAAGGAGGAGAAGAAAAGAAACATCTCAACATACACACACGCCCAACTAAACTTCATAATTGTGTTCAAATGAATTTTGTGGATAATTGTGCACAAAAGCAACAACAACGAAGATGAAGATATAGCTCAAACAGCGACAAATAACTACAAAACAACGACATTAAACTAAAATAAAACAAAACAATTCAAGTGCAAAACTAAAATCAAGTAAATAAACGAACGTCATTATTACGAAGAGGAGCAGCAGCAACAACATCATCATTATTAGAGTCAACATCATTATTATATTTGGCTAAGAGCGACAGAAAGCATCACCAGCCAGCAGCAGTCAACTACTTTCCCCTTTTGAAAAGAAAATTTTGCAAAGAAACGGCTCCAACATGTCGACACGTTCTCAGCTAACAAAGGATTTAAATGGTGAGTATCGTTTC